GACACACGGTGGACGCGCTGCTGCCGTGCGTGGCCCAGCCACAGCGGCTCGCATCGTCTCGTTCGTCGTTTAAATACGTTATAAAAACGAAAAACCCCTCTTTTTTTATTGTCGATATCTACGTAAAAATGTCTCATCTTCCGATCTAGACTATCAAAAAAATTCCAAAAGTTGAAGATCACGGAGATAAAACGTGTTTTTAAAACAAGTGCATTTCCCGAGGTTATGGGAGCAAATTTTCGAAAAACTGATGCCACTATTGGAAACCTGAGGAAAAAATACGTAAGAATATGTTTTTAGATAATTTTTTTATCAAAGTTTTGACACCGAAACGACGAGTTGAAAACGTCATGTTTGACGCCCGCGCGGGCCGTCCACCACGGCGCTGGGACAGTTGACGTGATTCTCCCCATATATATTACATAACCTAATGTGTGATCTGGGTGCCACGGACTACGAGCTAAGAGGAGAGAGAAGGACCGAAGACGCTCAAAGGATTTGATTGTGTTCGAGGTATGATTGAGTAAGTAATGTAATGTAATGTATTATTATTAACGTAAGATTATTACATAGGTTTATAAAACATACTGATAAAATAAAATATATATAATATGTATAGTGCATAAAGTATGAAGTATGACACAAGTACAGGAATATAATACAATTAAGAAGATACTAGATGTAAAACTAAAAATAACTATAGAATGTTTTGAGAGTAAGATTATTTAAAGAATCTAAGGATATTCACAACCGGCGATGTTCATTTATAGCTATTCAAATTATAACAAAAGATGTTTGATAAATTATTTGTTACTGTAGATTAGGACATTTTCCGTGCACTATGTATAAGCAAGAGTGACTCATAAGATATTTTTCGTAATTTTACGTTTATTAGTTAGTAATATTTAAAACCAAACGTAATAAAATTAATAGTACTCAGGAAGATTTCATCTATAGAATCAAACTATAACTTAAGTGACAATCTATTTTTTGTATTTCATTCGCTCTTTTCCTGACTCATCAGAAATGAAAGGAATAAGGCTTGGAAAGTATTGATTTATGATTGCTGAAAAGTGGTTTGGCCCAGTTTATTCATGAATAGTGAGGATTGAACAGCAAATGAGCATCTCATAGTCCCTGTTTTGAACGAAGGAATCAGAAGATAGTGAGAGTAGGGAGGGTGGTTGCATCGATTACTTATTTTTTGAAACCTCTAACTATTGGCCGTTTTTCACATGCAAAGGGAGGGGCGTGTGCACCTATGTAGGCTAACAGCATAGTGCAGGACAGTATGGTAATAGGCATCAGAGAGAGCGAGAGAGAGAGAGCTGAGCGTAGGGATCAAAGTTCTAGAAACCTCGAAGTAAAAGACGAAATAGGAAACAGCTTGAAGAGAGAGAGAGAGAGAGAGAGAGAGAGAGAGAGAGAGAGAGAGAGAGAGAGAGAGAAAGACAGATTTGTGATTTATAGTTTCCGATTGATCATTTTTCTTGACCCTAACTTTTACGAAACCATTTAACATTTATTGCGTTTTTTATACACGATTACAAATTTTCAGAAACAAGTACATTTTTTTTTTTTTTTTAATTAAATGATAACTTAAGACCATTAAAAGACGTGTTTAAAAAATATTTTAAATATGAAGTACTCAACTAATTTGATAATATGTCCATAAATTAGTAAAAAAATTTAACTTAAGCAGTCTTAAATATTTAAAATTTTAAATACCTTCAAGTAAAAGAAATGTAATTATTGTAAGCGAACTAAATAAGCTATGTCTCATCCTGTATGTAACTAAGTAGAAAAAACCCTGTTATCCTCTTATTTTTTTTGCCTAACATCAGAATGAATAGTTACATAAAAGACTTACCCATGTCAAAATGATCAGTGCACTTTTACAGGTAATGGATAACCCACAAGATTTAGTCGTTAACAAAAGTAAAAGGTTAGGAAATTAAACAAATTACAGTCAATTACGCTCACCATTCATTCCAGTTAAAAGTAAATAATAACAATTCTGTTATAACTATTACACAGTTTTAGAAAAAAAACTAAACAAATAAATAGAATATATGTTTTTTACTTCCATTATGAATTGTTTCTCATATTGTCGATCCAAAAAAAAAAATTATAACTATACTTGTATTAATATATATCATATTATAAAATACATTATTTAATGAATGGCTAACGTTTACGGATTAAAAATGCGAAATCATGATTTCCTTTGTTTATATTCCATAGAACAGCTTTGCGTATTAGTGACTCATTCTGGAAAACAGGAATTTTTTTTACAAGATACAATTTCTGACTTGCAAAATTATGAAATCAATTTTAAAATGTCAAGTTTTTTATATGGTCGGGGGGTTTTACGTGCAAAAACTTTTCAAAAAATTTTTCGAACTAATTGATTATATTACAACTATTCTTTTAACTAAATAACTAAATGTTACTTTTTCAAATTATTTTGATTAATACAAACATTACAAATTGTTCTTGTATTAGTAGGCCGTCAAGAAGAAATCGATCTTACGAGTTCAAATAAGTATACTGCAAAATATTGCGTATGGTGATCGAACGATATATGGTAGCTTTATTGCACACTTGCATTCAACCTTGAAAATCAATAACTCTACATAATTAGGTATGAATCATAAGGAAGGTGTAAATTATGTATCTTGAAGGTGTGAGTTAGGTCAACTATATATAAAATAAATTGTTTGATAGTCTCCACATGAACTCTTTAATTTTTGTATATTGTAATTAATTATTGTAACTTAAAAGAGTGCATTAGGGTAGGGTTATAAAAACAATATTGCTACCTATAACGGAAAACAAATGTTAAAAATATTTCAAAGTAAAAATTACACTTTTATCGAATATAATTTAAATGAAAAAAAATATTTATCACAATCAGTAGTTATCCACCAAAATGTTAATTTTAAAGAAATAAATTGCAACTTTTGCACATATTAAAGTTTAAAGTAATATTCCACTTGAAAGGTAAAAAGTTATGTCATGAGTATACAATACAGCTACCACATATAATTTGATTGACAGTTATGGTATAATCAATGTGTTTAAGAAGTTAAAGTTTTTCAAAAGTTTCATTACTCTTTATAACTTTGCAAGTCAGAAATCGTATCTTTTCAAACTGTTTCCAGTTTTTCAGTATTAATCACTAGATAATGTAGAAAAAGGATATCATGATTTTGCATTTTAAGTCAGTAAACGATTTGCGGTTCATTTAACAATGTATTTTATATTATGGTACGTATCAATACAAGTATAATTATAATTGTTTTCGGAATTTAACATGACGAAAAATGCATAATCAAAGGAAAAAATGAGAATGTTTTTTGTAACTGAGTTCTAATAATAACGTTGTTATTAATTATTACTAACTAAAATGAATGGTGCAAATGATTTAATGTAAGATGTCAAACTTGCCTAACGTTTCACTTTAGTAAAAAGGTAAATTTTATTGAAATATCATAACTTCTTAAAGGATACCATTTTCCTATATTTATTTAAAATTAGTTAAATAATCAAATACTGTTCATATACAAAGTACTAAATACAGATGAAGGCTGTACGAGGTAGCTGCAGCGTACTATTATTCGCTTCGTGCAGTAATCTAATTTAGTTAAGAATAAATAGCTGTACAAAGGTGAGTATCAAGAAATTTTCCATAAGGCTTGTAATTAGATTGCCTGACACAGTTGTAAAGTACAGCTACATTTATGATCATAGCTATAAATATAGTCAATGGCATATTTTAATGGATAATCGATAAAAAGTCATGGTTCCGTAAAGCTGTGTTCTCGAAAGTACGTACCAAAATTTTTTTCCATGCAGGTAGTAATATTTTAAATTAATGCACACACCTAATAATACTACTGAAAAAATGAATTTATACAAAAATAATTTAGATAAATAGTTCAAAATTGTGTCAAACAGAAACCATCTTTTTTCTAAAAAATGCATAAATTTAGGGATTTATATTCTATGCTGCTTTATTTCAATGGATAACTGTGTAGCATCAAAAGTGCTTTCTTCTTCAAGCTCATAATTAAAATTAAATCATTTTATTTTTATCATTATGTTTCGATGGATTATTGTGTAACAAAACTTATTCAAACACTCTGATGTGTCATTATTTAACATTTTTATTATTATTCTCTTTTCATAATTAAACCAAGTCTAAATATTCCAAATGATATTTATTAAGCAACAACGTCATTTGGCGTAATTTATATGATCAATCATTACTTACTGCTTACAAAAATCATCGAAGCGATGTGCAAGTTACTTGTATTTTTATTCAAGATTTCTTTAGTACATAACCAAAGTTATTAATTATTTATGACTAAATAATAACTTATGATGTAGGTTGTTAAGTTAAATTAGGTCTACAAATTCTTATGAATGGGAGTCCAAAAACGATTGAAGTTACCTACCTTATCAATTAGATTATGTTTGTATTATTAATTGTACGAATAGCTGTTTTACTTAACATGATCTAAATCTCTGTATTCATTGATTGCTTAACTTACCCATAACATATGGTAAAAAAAACAATGTCATGTCATATTTTAATTGTCTACATTCTCAACTTTTATAGTTGTTCATTGAAATTCTAAATTATGACACCAAATGTGAGCTTATTCAAAGAGAATGATTCTAAATAAAGTACCAATGAGTCACACTAGTCTTCAAGCGCACAAGCCAAATTTTTGCTTTTGATTGAGTTTGAAAGGTTATGCCACAGTAAACAATATGATGAACATTCAAAACACTCTCACCCTTGATAAATTTACGTTTTCTATCACTCACATGCTCTAATAAATCTGTAAACGAAACTAAATACCTTTTTTCAATTCTGTTTTAGCTAAGTACTTAAAACTTTCTCATAAAAAGTAAAACTGGTCGGTTAATATCCCAAATTAAAGTTTTTTGATAAGTTAATTCAGAATATGTTTTTCTTCTTTGCAACTAACCTTTATTTCATCAGCTGTTACGAGACCAACGTTTAAAATTTTTTCTTTAAAACTTGTTAGAGGATCTCGTGTTTGTCTAACTTCCTGTATTTCTTCTCTTGTTCTATAACTCGTTCCTGGATCTGACATACTATGTCCGCTATATCTATATGTAAATGTTTCCATAACGAGTGGTCCTTTCCCAGATGTACAGTAATCTATAGCAAATCTTGTTGCTTCTCTTACAGCCAAAACATCCATTCCATCAACCTGCAATAAAAACACATTCAATAATTTAATTTATGTATTACATGTAATTCTATTAGGCTAATAAGAAATTGGTTAGGTTAATTATTCTAATGATTATTTACGCCCATGAAAAAATTGTATTCTACGGAACTTTTGCATCTTACAAAATTCATGTTAACTAAATTCTGTCAAGGATGAAACGATTGATTGTAGAATAACGAGCTTCAATAATATATTAACTGACATTAAATTAGGCAAAAAATAATCAATATTTAATAGGGCCTACATTATGTGCTTTCTTATATAATTATTACACAACTGTTTCCGTGGAGATTGCTTCATAGGTTATGAAAATAATGATTTTCCCAGCATCACGGTATGGTAGCATTTTAGTCTCACACTAGAAATAATTCAAGGTGTAAATACATTTTTCATTCAAATGTATTTATTGGTTTTATCTTAGCACTTACTAATTTGATAATAATTATATTACGGATTGTTTAAATTTGTTAACATTAGTTAATATTTACTACGTTTGTCTGCTTAAGACCTTAAAAAAAAAATTATGAAACTATTTACAAGCCTACGTCATTTAGTTTTCGAATAATAGGCACAATCTGAAATTTATAACAGCATTATCTGCCGATACTTTTTTTTGTATTTTCCAGTATGCGAAAATTTCTTCTTGCAGTGTTCAGCATTAAATTGTTTTTAAAAGTAAAGTATAGTTTTTGCCTAAGCTCGGAAAAAGAGTATAGTTTTTGCCTAAGCTCGGAAAAAGAGTATAGTTTTTAGCTCACACTCCAAAAGAGCATAGTTTTCGATGAGATTCAGAAAAAGCGCAGTCATTGTCCAGACTCGGAAAAAAGGACATACTCTTCGTATAGATCCAAAAAAGGATCATAGCTCTTATTCCAGCTGGCTAGACAGAAGAGCACCATTACACCCGGACTCAAGAAAAAGGCATGGCCTTGGCCCAGACTAGAAATACGGGCATGGTCTTAGGCTTGGACGTCAAAAGGGCATAGTTTTTGTTCAGGACTAAAAAGAGCAGTTTTGGTCGGTATATAGGTGGCACAACTGTAAGTATCCAACCATTTTGTGTAAGCATTTGCCCTGTCCAATCTTTTTATGCAAGCGTATTTTCTCAGTCAGCGCTCAAAAGCTCTCCAGTCTATCCTATATATTTCTTATTAAAAGATATATAACCGAGTTTCGAAATATCTGACTTGTCTTCGGTTAATGTTTTGCCCTATATTGGAATGATTGTTTGTAAATTTTTATTAGACTTGTACGCTATCTATGTACTGCATTTAAAAAAATGCAAATTACATGCAAAAACAGACATTATTGTTTTTTTGTACGGGTAAGGAAAAAATATTTTCTAAAGTTATTTTATGTTTTAGTTTTTTTATCAAATTATATAAAACTCTATGAATTTACCCGTTGTTGTATGCTATTTGTCTGATAATATTCAACTATTTGTCATAATCAACAGAATTCAGTGGTATGTAAAGAAGTCTATAAATGTAACTGTAGTTGACAGATATTTTATGTGATCCGGAATGGATAAAAATCTTGTGTACTCTGATATCTGTATGTGTTGGCTTAAGAAAATTTCTAGTTCTAACAAATAGCCCTTTTTATTTAATAACGTGAGAAAGTACAAATTGACAGACCTTTCGGGCGAATAACAATTTTATGGCGTGAGAAATGCACGATACTTTTAAGTTTACTACAGCGCTCCACATAGTAAATCTTGAACGAAGCTAACAATGTAATATGAAAAAGTATAAACAAAATAAAGAAGTTTTAAAAGCTTGTAAATTTCATCGGCTATTTAAGGTATAATTTTATTTTATATATATTGTTTATTAACTATTTTCACAACATCCTTTACTGGAACACTCGGAAACAAGTTTTTACCGAAATCGTCTGTACTGTACTAGTTTTTACATTGTTAATAATTTGAATTCAGTTTTTAATAATGTAAATGGAAGAAAATTAAGTATAAGCAAAAATAAGATTTTCTAACTTTTGAGATATTTTGTCTGATGGAAAGGTAATAAATGATACAACAGTTCTAGTATAAGAATTTCCTTTTTGCTATTTTAGTCAAAAAAAGAGTGAGTTAAGGTGGTTGAGAACTTATTTGTATTGTATTACAGAATAAGTAGTAAGATTATTAAATATTATACTATTCTTGTAGGGGTTTCAGTTTCTTTCTGTAATTAATCAATGGTATTGGTATCTGGTTTAAAAATCAGCTATAATTAAAAAATGCATGTTTTTTTCAAACAGTCTATTGCATTTAGAGCTATTAATGTTTGTCCTTTGTATGCACATATTAAAACGACATTATGATCAAGAATTTTCTTAATAATACATTTAGCTGTTTGATTATAAAATTCTTGCAGCGCCACTTGTTTTCTTCCACCTTATGTGTCATTAAATAGTACTTTGTCTTAGTTAACAATAAACTTGCATTCTGCGTGAAAATACTCTATTAGTTTATCCTTATTATCAATGTCAAAATTTAATTTACAACCTTTTTCAATAACTCAAATCCATTGCTTGTAAAATTGGTATCAGAAGAATTAACAAAAAATTTAAAAATTTGTGTTTTAGAGTCATTTATCAGTTCTTTATTTTTTCTTGAAACATGATTCCTAAAGCTTGTTTTTCCCAATAATGTATTTTTTGTGTATCAATCAACTTACCTTATGCCCCATCTCAAAATAGATAAGATCAAATTTAATTGTACCTTATCATAATGCATAAAACTTGATTACATATAAGCATTATTTAAATAATCTGTATCTAAATCAGATAAAATTTAATGATTATTTTTTAAGAAGCTAAAAATGGTTTAATTATGGATAATCGATTGAGTTCTCTTCTTGCAAATTTATTTATGCATGACTTTGAAAAAACCATTCATGAATGTCCACTATCTAGAATGTGTGTACAGGCATTACAGGAGCAAGAAGACAGTTGGATTTGTTTTTGGAACTTATTGGTACAATCCACATAAACATTACCTTCAGGATGGTATCAGAGTTAAACAATGGAATTAACTTTTTGGACTTGAAAATTAAAAAAGCCAACAATGTATTTAAATTTGGTCTTTTTAATAAGCTCTTAAAAACAGACAATATCATCTCTAACTCCCCTTTTGATTTATATGCTTACAAAATGTTAGCATTTAAAAGCTACATTTATAAGCCCCTGAACATTACGTTTGCAGAGAATAAATATAACAAAGAATGAAATTTCATTGAACAGCTGTTGCTAAATAATTACATTATCTCAGAATTTTTTTATTGAATGAATTATCGATGTTTTCAGCGATGTACTTATAAAATTACAATCCTAAAAATATTAATGATTCAACTGATAAAATTAAGTACAAAAAAGGTATTAAAAGGTTCCTATTGTGTGCGTAAAAACTTTGAGGTGCCAAAATGTAATTGACTACCTTAACGAGATACTGAAAAGTTAGGATCGAATACTCTCGTACGATACAAAGCACGGACCAAGAGAAAGGCATCTGATATCGGGGGTAGCACAGGGCTCTGCTCAAACTCTGAAACTGGGTCTATGATGGTTTTTTGTGTCTTGAAATGCCTCTGCAGGTCAAGCTGACGGCCTTTGTGAATGACATGAGATCTCGAAAGAAGGTCGTGCGAAAAATCCAGTGGGCAGTCGTGATAGTGTCAAAGTAGCTCTGAGATCACGGTTTCTAACGATCTATAAGACGAAGGTCATCGTCTTTATCAGTCAAAGATGGTTGGGGGGGNCATTTTGTCTTACTTTCTATTGAGTCCTTTTTTTTAAATACTTTCAGAAGGTAGCCTTCTTAGATTTTTCCATTGTACTAGTCACTGGGGGCGTTTCCATCTGAATTTTGCGCGTGAGACAATCTGCACAAGCCTGGCAGTGTGCTACCTGGGAGTGTGGGTAGACGTTTAGCTTCTCTTTTGGAATTACATTAAAAGAGCAGCTGGCAAGGCCTCTCAAATTGTGACAACGCTTTCACGGTTAACGCCAAACGTTAGGTACCCACGGAAAGCCAAAAGACCGCTTCTTGCGTCAATCTAACTCAATACTGCTCTACGGTGCGAAAGTGTGAGCGGACGCTCTGACGATACGGTACGTCAAAACGCACTTTACTTGAATCCAACACATTGCATCTCGTAGGACTACGTGTGCCTACCACACAGCTTACTCCGTTGCTTATGGTAACAGCACGAACGAGCTAGTAGGCAGACTTAGCGTAGCACCCATGCCCGAAAACATCAACTCTGCGATGCTCCACACCAACGGAGAATGAAAAGCTGTGGATGATTTCGTCTGGTCAGTGGTCCGTCGTAAGAAGGAAAAGGAGACAGCCACCATGCGGGACACGGGGATTTTCGAGTAGGCTATCTCAAGTGACAAGGTTAAGTATGTTAAATGCAAATCCGTACTGAGTTGAGTACACTTACTCATTAACTAGAGAAAGCATTAAAGTGGCTTTATCAAAGAATGCAGCCTACAAAGAACTACTTTTCCCTTAAAAAAAAAAAAAAAAAAAAAAAACTAAAAGCTGATAAAAAATGGTTAGTCAACCGTTAGACCTTTTTACTTACACCATTTAACTTTTAATACATTTGAAACACAGTAATAAAGGAGAAATACACAGAGTAACAGACTTAGAACAACAAACGAATTCGACATTACTACTTATTAGGACTCATGAGAACTTACTTGGAAAATATAATGTAAGGGGTTTCGAAATAAATTTCATTTTTAATGCAATTAATTAAAAAATCTTAAAAATACTGCAGTTTAAGTCTTACGTATGTATATTATATAATGTTATAAATTTTTTTTTATTACACTGTTACGTCAATCTATAAGTCAAGAAACAATGTAACCATTAACGTTTCGTCTTTACGACCTGAATTTTTTTATTAAACAAAAAGTTTTATCAGCAGATGTTTCGTACTCCTACGAGTTCAGACATGTTTTTAATGTTT